TGTATGCTCAGGATGCGCTCCATACTCATGGTGGAAAAGGAGCATGCAGCATGCAGTTTAGAATCTCGCTTCAGTGGCCTGACACGTCATGGGATAGTGACTCAAATAGTAATTTCTTGGAGATACTCAATTCATGCCAGCAGAGTGTTGAACTAGCCGGAACTCCTTTCCTGCACCTCGATCAGCATGGGCCATTGTGCTACTAAGCACGGTAGCCATGGTCTGTCCATCTCTGTCTACCATCTACACGAAAGTGCTCCATGCATCATCTATAGCAAACTGTTCAATGCATCATGAACACGGAAGCCTGATCGGCACTAGAACTGCAGGATCTTATCATGTTGCTGTTGCAGACTTCGTGCTGCAATCGGAGCGCAACTCGATCACTCGCCGTACGAGCCAAACCACGAAATATACCAGCTCTTGTTCCTGTGGCCACTCTTCACGATGGCAGACTTCTTCGCCACAACAGAGAGGTTCTGATCTTGTCTGAACTTCTTGAGCAACTTGTCAGTGAATCCAGGGTCCTCTGCGCCCTTCAAGAGCTCGCTCTGCTTCTTGAGCTTCTCCAGCACCTTGACACGATCTTGCCAGCCACGGTGCTGATTGTTCTTCTCGTTCTCAACCATCATTTGAATGTAGGCCTCGCTGGGAATGGCGTTGGACCGCATTGCAATTTCTGCGAGGCGTTCCTTGCACTTCTTGGTTCGCACCAAGCAATCTGCCAGCACGGCGAGTGCCGCGTCCAAGTCATTAAGACCTTGCATGACCTTTTCCTTGTCAAGCTTGCCCTCGTTTGCAGCATCGTAGCTTGCCTTCAGCTCTTCTTGAGTCACCTGCTGGTTTTCAACATACCACTCAAGAATGTAAGGAAGATTCTGATGCTGGAACCAATGGCACTTCCTGGAGCAAACGGTGCAGTATCTATTGCGCATCACACAGCACTTCGCTTTGTCCTTGTCGTTCGACAAGATACAATTCTGGTGTGCACGTCCTGTTGGATCGCCATCTGCTGCATCGCCGTCGCATTTGCAAGAACGGATGAAGCAGCTGACCAGCAAGAACGTCTGCGAGCAGGCGACCAACTTCATACGTAGAACCCAAGCAAAGTAGTCATGAACTCTCCAAGAAACAGCA